GAAGGGATGTGGGGGGGCTCTAGGGCTTAGAGCTGGTACTGGGGCATCGAGGTGCTGTGCTTTTGGTAAACTGGCAATGTTATTTGCATATTCATTGTTTGCATAAATATGCAAATATTATCAGTCTGCTAAAAGTCTGAGACTGGGTTTGCCAGTCCCCAGTATCAAATAGGTTGGGAACCACTGAATTATGTTACTGTTCTGAATATTCAAATACAAAATTATTTTAACTCCTCTTTTCAGTAGTACATAAGAAACACAATGGTGAGTACTTGACATACAAAGTTTGGCTTTCACCCTCAGGTTGACAGCAACAGAAGTATTTCAAAGCGTAGCTTGAAATTTCCATTTAACTGCTGCTTTTCAGTATAGTAGACATATACCCAGAGGCTATGTCTACACTACAAAGTTTTTGCGGAAACCCAGTGGAGCGTCCACACCTCAAGCACATTTTTGCACAAGAAAATCGACAGAACAGAGGGCTTTTGCTGGTACAGTAGTTCCTCCCCATGAAAATAATTCCTTTTTGCGCTACAGCTCTTGTGCAAAAAGGAAGGTGTGGACACTCCAGAGGGGTTTTTGCGCAAGAAACCCCTATCAGAAAAAGCACAGGTGCTCTGATGGCCATTTTGTGAATGGTCATCAGAGCTTTCTTGCGCAAGAGTGTCCACAAAAGGCTTCTTGTGGAAAAAGCTCTGCAGTGTAGACAAAGCCAAAATGAATATAATTGTCTTCTGCCTCATCCATCAATTCACATTTTTTCCTGACAAATAGCTAAGTGCACTCTATAGGCAGTTAGTCCCTTGGGGTATGCCTAGACTACAGGCTTTTGTCGACAGAGGCTTTGTCGACAGATACTGTCGACAGAGCTTCTGTAGACAGAGTGTTTAGACTACATCCAGGTCTGTTGACAAAGCAAGCCGCTTTGTCAGCATGGGTATGTCTACACTACCCTCCTAGTTCGAACTAGGAGGGTAATGTAGGCATACCGCACTTGCAAATGAAGCCCGGGATTTGAATTTCCCGGG